AAAAAAACTTGTAAACTATGTTTTTTGATTTTTCAAAAAGCATATTTGTGGAAGTTCTTTCATTAAAATATCTAAGAGTTTTCGAAGGTTAGTAAGCCTAAAGTTTATTAATACAAAATTTTGTAAACAGATAACGGAATTACCATTGAAAAGCTAAAACCTTATAAATGAACGCTAAGTGTAAATCAAAAATTAAATTTCTAAGATTTGATTCGAGGTAGTTACCTCCAGGAAAAATGAACGTTAACTAGCGAATAAAACTTAATCAATTCGTGGGGATAGAAACCAACGCCTGTTTTATTAAGTTAATACAAATTAAACTTCGAATATCTACCGCAAGTTTAACCTGTTTTGCGAATAAATTAATTGAGGATTTTTGAAATAGGTAAGTACAAAATTTATTGACAATCTCCGATAAATTTCGGGCATTAGAAAATGTAAAAAGTTTACTTGTTGATTTATCTAGCATATTATTTATTTATTTGTTTTGTTTGAAATTTGCGGTAAAACTTTTAATCTTAACGCTTTTTTGAATAACTTTAAAGCCAAACTAACTTAAAAGATATTTGATGATATTGAATACTTAATAATAATAAGTTAATTCAAAGAATTGTCGTGATACACACGTTAATCTTTTGTCTTTTGTCCCACGCCAGGTAGTTGCATAGACGAGTGCATGGTGTTGACATTATTTTGACACGAGAATTTTGATAAAAAATTCCGAAAATGTCAACTCTAGTCAAGAACTAAAAATTTATAGTGTAAAATTTAAAATTCGGACCTTAGATTTTTTGAGTTTTAAAACTTCTTAGGTTTACTTCTTAAGCTTAAATTTTGCTTATCCGTCGTATGAAATGATGTAGTTTAACACACCATTTCACTAAACATTTTTTGTATTAATAACCTTCTTAATTATTCTAATTAGATTTTTAGCTTTCAAGCTATTAGATTTTGAAGAATTTTTCAGAATTAAAACTTGGGTATTTGCTTTTTATGTAGTTAATAAAATCTTTATTCTGTGTAACATCTTTGACAGCGTATAAAACAGCATTTCGACCCTTTAAATGTGATATGGAACTTTTACTAATTTTTAAGTCTTTACAAGGTTCAAAACTTTTTATTAAATTTATTAAATCGTTATAATTACCTATATCAGTTATACTCAAACCAATAGATTATCTTCTCGGAATAAACTTTTAATAAAATTTCTAACTGTGGTTTCAAATACATTTTTGTATTTTTTACCTGAAGATTTTGTTAATAGGTAATTATAAGGAATGTTGGGTTTAAATTTTTAATTAATTGTCTAACTTGTTGGCAATCTCGAGTTGTATCTCAAGGTAAACTATCTAATAAAAAGTTTGTTGGATTTAAATTGTTTTGATTATCAATTCTTCGTTTATTATCAAAATTTAATTGAAATGTTTGATCCCTCATTGTTAAAACAACATGACCTCCCTTAATGAATATATCTTTAGCTGAACGTAGACTGGTTTGAATATATTCATAATTAGTTTTACCGTTATTAAAAATATCTAACAAAATTTCCTTTAAATGATTAAGTTTATAATCGTTTGATTGAAAACCAGTTGCTGCTTTTATACCAGAATTAAATGCTAATTGACCTCTCGTTGTTCAAGATAGTAAACCCATTTCCTTTGTTTTTTCTTCACCACCCTCCTGTGTTAATCCACCTTCTTCATTTTTGATTTCTAACGCTTTCTCATCAGGGTTCTCGGAAATCACTTCTCTAAAGGTTTTAAACAATCTAAAGAAGAAGGTTTTATTCAGTGGTAAATTTAACAATTTTTCTTCTAAATTTATTACATCAGTTATAAAACCAATCCGTTGTTACTGATACTGCTTTACCTCCCATATCTTTAATATTATTCAAACATTCACCTATTACTACTCGCACGAAAGCTGTTATGTAACCACAAATTAAAGGGTTTGTTAATTCACCACCCTCCATTACTTTAGTAGTTTTTGTTTGGGCATCAAATTTTCGTTTTCCTCCAACACCAGTAGCTGTTGAACCGTATAAAGCGTTAGCTATTAACTTCCACATCAAATTATCAAAAGTACCCTTCGGATGTTTCTTTCTTTCTCGAACTAATTCTGTGATTATTTTTGTGAATGGTTTATAAGCTTTAGGTGATATTACCTCATCTTTCATTATTTTATTAAATTCCACAGAATCTTTTAGGTTTATCTCTCCACTTGTTTTGAATAATTTACACCATTTTTCTTCAAATTCTTTCTTAGCTAACTCATCAACTTCACTCTTTGATTGACGGGTGTCTTTGAATGGAATAAACACGCCACTTTTTATTTTTAGCTCACAACCCAAATTTTTGGCTAATAAATATTCTAAACCAGTTATTGTACTATTACCTTGTAGAGGGTAAATCTCGGAATGTCTATCCAATTGGGTGGGTATAGAAGGGTATTTTACATCACTGTTAAATTTGAAATCCACATTAAAAGCTGAATAACCTCTAATTAGAAACCATTTTAATAAATTCTCATCCATTTTATTTAGACTTCGATCGTTTAAAATTCACGCTCGTCGATAGTCAGGGTCTCCCATAAAAATCATACCTGTTGGATAAGCTCCACTTAAATCATAATCAACTCATTTTTTATCAGGTTTTTTCTATATTTAATCATTTATCCAAACCATACATAAAAGATTCATTTCTCCCTCCTCTATAACTAGCTATAAAATGGTTTATTTGTAACCCAGTTACTTTGGTAGCATTTATACCATTGGGTGTAAAAAATTGCGAGTTTTTTTGCAAATGTATAATATTTATCAGGCTGGTAACCATCATAATTATCTTTTAACCAAGTATTTTTTACATAAGCTTTACTTAAAGTTGAAGTTGTTAGCGGTATACCTCTACGGTGTAATTTGTTATAAAATAACTCCATCTCGTTAACATGTTTTAATACAATGTACACATCTCTCATAGCATAATCATGGAATAATTGTTTATTTTCGTTCAATAGTTGTTTCATATTTCCTCGATAATGTTTTAAATCAATCTTTTTATATTCTTCACCATAGATTTTACCAATACTAGCTAAAGATTTTGAACCTCCTGGAGCTAACAAAATAGTATCCCTTACATGAAGTTTAAATTTAATTTGAGGTAATGAAATACCCTACCTAAAGTAACGAAACTTTTACTTACGATGGATAATTTCTCCTTATAATCATCAAAATCTTTTAAATTAGCTAAATCAGCATTTGTTAAATGACTACAGAGTATTAAATTATTTCTAACTGTGAAAGACACTCTCTCACCCTCATAATAAAAACTAAATCGAGAATTACTTTTTGAAAAACTTTTATCCAGTTTAGACTTAAAATTTCCAATTTTAAACGCTTCATCTAACATCTTTTCAACAATTAATGTATTTTTATTAATCAATTTTTCAGACATAACTTCTGATTCTTTTAATAACTCTTTCATGGAATATTCTTTACAATACTTCATAGATTCAATTATCTCTGAAAAAGGAAATTGGTAAAACTTTCGTGTGTTCTGCTTGTCGTCAAGCGTATTAACATCGGGAAGCTTTTTAAACATGTCGACCACCCTATTCTGAATAATTAAATGTTTTGGGTATTTTACTATTTTACATTCCTTTATAGCAGTTCCTATTAAAATTGTTAGTTTATCCAATTGATTTTTATTATATTTATTAATCTGTAAAGGTGATACTTCGTTAGTGTGTGGGTTTATATATTCTATAACAAAGTCTTGTTCATAAGGAACACAAATTTCTAACCTACAATTCATAGCTAACTGGACTGATAATAATTCATTAGTATCCCTTTTGTGGCTACTTAATTCAAATTCGGTATCAAAGCTTTGATTGAAATTTTGTGTTATAGTAAAACCTTGTTTTCTAATTCGACGTGTGATGCAGGGATCTAAAAAACGTTCTAACCTTTGATTTAAAACCAGCATATCAATAACTACATCATCCACATCTTCCTCATCTTTTAAATTTTCAAATTTTAAATATAGTTTTAAACTTTCTTTGAATAGTATGAGCATTAAAAACTGGTGTAATCATTTCTGAATTTCTATGTGTATTAGAGGTTTCTTTTCACCCTTGAAATTTTCTGTAATATCCCCGGTAGCTAAACCTTTCTCGTAATCAATGAATTGTTCGTCTAATCTCAATGCTTTATAAATATCCTCTAATATCTGAATATTACAGTATTGAGTTAAGTACCCATTAGAATTTAACTTAGATAATTCTTTTAATAACTGATTAAAGTTTTCTATAATAATTTTTAAATCTTCAACAGATTTAACATCGAGCTCTAATGAAACACCATCTTCTTTAAATTTTAAACAATACATTTTTAAATGTTGTTCGTTCATCTATTTGTTGTTATAGTTTATTAAAATAAATCTTAATCTTGAAATTATTCCCAATGTTGGTTTAACAACTAGAAGGTAATTAAACAATAGAGGATAATGAAAAAACTTGTAAACTATGTTTTTTGATTTTTTCAAAAAGCATATTTGTGGAAGTTCTTTCATTAAAATATCTAAGAGTTTTCGAAGGTTAGTAAGCCTAAAGTTTATTAATACAAAATTTTGTAAACAGATAACGGAATTACCATTGAAAGCTAAAACCTTATAAATGAACGCTAAGTGTAAATCAAAAATTAAATTTCTAAGATTTGATTCGAGGTAGTTACCTCCAGGTGAAAAATGAACGTTAACTAGCGAATAAAACTTAATCAATTCGTGGGGATAGAAACCAACGCCTGTTTTTATTAAGTTAATACAAATTAAACTTCGAATATCTACCGCAAGTTTAACCTGTTTTGCGAATAAATTAATTGAGGATTTTTGAAATAGGTAAGTACAAAATTTATTGACAATCTCCGATAAATTTCGGGCATTAGAAAATGTAAAAAGTTTACTTGTTGATTTATCTAGCATATTATTTATTTATTTGTTTTGTTTGAAATTTGCGGTAAAACTTTTAATCTTAACGCTTTTTTGAATAACTTTAAAGCCAAACTAACTTAAAAGATATTTGATGATATTGAATACTTAATAATAATAAGTTAATTCAAAGAATTGTCGTGATACACACGTTAATCTTTTGTCTTTTGTCCCACGCCAGGTAGTTGCATAGACGAGTGCATGGTGTTGACATTATTTTGACACGAGAATTTTGATAAAAAATTCCGAAAATGTCAACTCTAGTCAAGAACTAAAAATTTATAGTGTAAAATTTAAAATTCGGACCTTAGATTTTTTTGAGTTTTAAAACTTCTTAGGTTTACTTCTTAAGCTTAAATTTTGCTTATCCGTCGTATGAAATGATGTAGTTTAACACACCATTTCACTAAACATTTTTTGTATTAATAACCTTCTTAATTATTCTAATTAGATTTTTAGCTTTCAAGCTATTAGATTTTGAAGAATTTTTCAGAATTAAAACTTGGGTATTTGCTTTTTATGTAGTTAATAAAATCTTTATTCTGTGTAACATCTTTGACAGCGTATAAAACAGCATTTCGACCCTTTAAATGTGATATGGAACTTTTACTAATTTTTAAGTCTTTACAAGGTTCAAAACTTTTTATTAAATTTATTAAATCGTTATAATTACCTATATCAGTTATACTCAAACCAAATAGATTATCTTCTCGGAATAAACTTTTAATAAAATTTCTAACTGTGGTTTCAAATACATTTTTGTATTTTTTACCTGAAGATTTTGTTAATAGGTAATTATAAGATGTTGGGTTTAAATTTTTAATTAATTGTCTAACTTGTTGGCAATCTCGAGTTGTATCTCAAGGTAAACTATCTAATAAAAAGTTTGTTGGATTTAAATTGTTTTGATTATCAATTCTTCGTTTATTATCAAAATTTAATTGAAATGTTTGATCCCTCATTGTTAAAACAACATGACCTCCCTTAATGAATATATCTTTAGCTGAACGTAGACTGGTTTGAATATATTCATAATTAGTTTTACCGTTATTAAAAATATCTAACAAAATTTCCTTTAAATGATTAAGTTTATAATCGTTTGATTGAAAACCAGTTGCTGCTTTTATACCAGAATTAAATGCTAATTGACCTCTCGTTGTTCAAGATAGTAAACCCATTTCCTTTGTTTTTTCTTCACCACCCTCCTGTGTTAATCCACCTTCTTCATTTTTGATTTCTAACGCTTTCTCATCAGGGTTCTCGGAAATCACTTCTCTAAAGGTTTTAAACAATCTAAAGAAGAAGGTTTTATTCAGTGGTAAATTTAACAATTTTTCTTCTAAATTTATTACATCAGTTATAAAACCATCCGTTGTTACTGATACTGCTTTACCTCCCATATCTTTAATATTATTCAAACATTCACCTATTACTACTCGCACGAAAGCTGTTATGTAACCACAAATTAAAGGGTTTGTTAATTCACCACCCTCCATTACTTTAGTAGTTTTTGTTTGGGCATCAAATTTTCGTTTTCCTCCAACACCAGTAGCTGTTGAACCGTATAAAGCGTTAGCTATTAACTTCCACATCAAATTATCAAAAGTACCCTTCGGATGTTTCTTTCTTTCTCGAACTAATTCTGTGATTATTTTTGTGAATGGTTTATAAGCTTTAGGTGATATTACCTCATCTTTCATTATTTTATTAAATTCCACAGAATCTTTTAGGTTTATCTCTCCACTTGTTTTGAATAATTTACACCATTTTTCTTCAAATTCTTTCTTAGCTAACTCATCAACTTCACTCTTTGATTGACGGGTGTCTTTGAATGGAATAAACACGCCACTTTTTATTTTTAGCTCACAACCCAAATTTTTGGCTAATAAATATTCTAAACCAGTTATTGTACTATTACCTTGTAGAGGGTAAATCTCGGAATGTCTATCCAATTGGGTGGGTATAGAAGGGTATTTTACATCACTGTTAAATTTGAAATCCACATTAAAAGCTGAATAACCTCTAATTAGAAACCATTTTAATAAATTCTCATCCATTTTATTTAGACTTCGATCGTTTAAAATTCACGCTCGTCGATAGTCAGGGTCTCCCATAAAAATCATACCTGTTGGATAAGCTCCACTTAAATCATAATCAACTCATTTTTTATCAGGTTTTTCTATATTTAATCATTTATCCAAACCATACATAAAAGATTCATTTCTCCCTCCTCTATAACTAGCTATAAAATGGTTTATTTGTAACCCAGTTACTTTGGTAGCATTTATACCATGGGGTGTAAAAAATTGCGAGTTTTTTGCAAATGT